TATTTATACTATATTACAGATATTTTTTAGACTCTGTCACCTCTTTATCACCAGACTTCTCTCTCATGAAACACAGCATTAGAACAGACCAATAGTGCAATGCCTACTTCCATCCTTCCTTAATTCGCACATCATGGCAGGATTTGCATAATCATGAAAGATCTTTGTGATGAAATGGTAGGATTTTCCAGTGTTTCCTCACGGTGTTGCTCCAGCAAAAGGAATCATTCCTGATGGCTAACTAGGTGGAGGAACATCTCTAGGTCATTCTTAATAACAGAAAGGCAGGACTTTGCTTTGAATGTTCAATATATGGTCTCCTTTTGATCTCTACTGATAGGAAAGAACATGGCTTCAAGCCTTTTCGCAACCCCAGGGACTTTCATGGCAGAAGCAGGATGCAGAAGATCTGCAGCGGGGAAACTGGAGTCCCGTTTTAAGTACCGCATGAGTACCTTTCTCCTTCAAAGTGACTGCAGTCTGAATGTCAATCACAAAGAGAAAGGAGAATTTGAAGTCTGGACTCCATTTGGCCACTAGGCAACCAGTTTCTTTGCTGATACATAGAAACTACTCTGACAGATGAGATAGGAGAATGAGAGCAGTGTGAAAAAAATCTAGAAAACCTAATTGTATGAGGGTAATTAACAGATGCAAACGAGGGTGGAGTACAATCATGTCAATGTCATTAGGGGAGGCAGCGCCTGAGCAGTTTCAGATTTTGCATTTTCAGGATGAAAGAATCAATCCTAACAGAAATATTTATCATCTACAGTATTTAACAGTGAAATTAGAGTAAGAGAGCAATCAATAACATAAATTGCCCTATTTAAATGAACATTGAATTGATTAAGACATGCATGGCCAGGGGTCCAAATTTCTCCCTTTTCCAATAATTCTCTGTGCTACCTGTGAATCACATAGTACCCTTAACTGTGTGGCTGAGGGTATGCCATTGGTTTGGTAAGGTTCAATAAGCCTAATTGCACAGTTTTCTCTAATTTCAGTTTCACAGAAGTGTTTACAAGTATTGTGCTCCTATATCTGACTCCGAGTCCAGCATCACTCCCCACTCTCAGGCATACTGTAAATGATATCTGATACATCACTAATTTTTTGATGTGATACCACTAAACTCAGATGGACTGCAAAACAGGTAGCAAGCAAATCAGCAATAACAATGCCAAGTTCATAAACAAACAAACAAACAATTTTAAGATATATCGGATATACTACTGAATAGCTTGTACAGGATAACTTTAACTGCTGCCATGAAAACCCACAAGGGAGATTTTAGTGTTATCTGGATGTGGAAGAAAATGGAACACATGAGAGTTCAAGCATGCAAGTTTCAGTGGGGATAGGGCTTCATTTTTTTTGCTTTCCAGCCCATCACAATCTGTGACTCAAAAGCCTTGGGCAAAACCTATCTAGTGAACCATCATCACCACAAAGCAACTTGCCTTTTAACTCTGTCGAATGCTATTTTATTCATTTCCAATTGAAAACACCTCTGGAGATGCACATAAATTCATTGGGCCCTCTCTAAACTGGCCTCCTACTCCACGGAATGCCTGAGCATCACAATGCTTGAAACATAGGACTAATGATGTGATACAGCTAAACTCAGATGGACTGCAAAATATGTAGCAAGCGAATCAAAATTCATTTAGCATCAGCAATACTGGGTTGTTACAGTCAATAATGTTTTACCTTCCCAGCAGCCACGTTTTTACAACAGCTACCTACTTGCATTGTCA